TTAATTATAAAAAATATGAATGTATGTATTATAGGTAATATTTATATTTCCACATCAAGATCAACAAAGAATTATGTCAATATTGACATACCAGAAGTTAATCGTTTTATAGATTCATTTAAGTATTGAAATTATTTAAAATATGTCTGTTACATTAATTATTGCTAATTGTTTACTTTTTATTTTAACTATATTTTCAATTATTCATTATCACTTTGTTGAAGAGATTTTAATTATATGCATATTGCTCACAATGTTGATAATACAAGATCTACTATTTTTACTAAGTTAGGAAATTTCAAAAACATATCTAAAATCTTAATAATGGCAAAATCAAAGAGTGATATAATAAATTTAATTTCTCTTATACTTTGTTTTTCTTATTTAAGTTTTAAATTAATTTTTTAATTAATTTTCAAAATATCGTAATTGGTTATATTATAACTGTGAACGATGTATTGCTTAAAAATGGTCTGTATTATATTTCTTGCTCTATTGTAAGAAGAAAGTTTCTTTCACAACTACAGATTTTAGATGTGAATCATGTCATAAGGTATTATATTTCTTGCTCTATTGCAAGAAGAAAGTTTCTTTCACAATTATAGATTTTATATGTGAATCATGTCATAACTACGTAGTGTATCCAATGATAAGATAATTAATTTATCACTATGTATTCTAATTTTTAAATTTTTATATTAAAATAAATTGAATTATATATTATTGCCTTAATTTATTTATATTACAGGTTTCGTCTTGAGCTTGATGTTAAAGATTTTACAGATTCAACTATATTTGTCTTATTTGATAAAGTTGTTGAACAATTAGTACAAATAAAGTTAACAGATCTTATTGCAATATCTGAAATTGTAAGCAAATGTGTTAATTTCTAACTTTTTATAAATAAAATATATTAAACATATAACTATTTTTATGTGATAATTTTTTTAAAGGTAATGGTAAAGTGTTAAAGTTGCATCCACAACTTTTAAAGATTATTGACACTTCACATATTGTTCAAATAAAAATGAGTACCGACTTTGAAAGTCGTGAAAAATAAAGTTTCACTGCAAATAAAATTGTAAAGCCAATAATGAAGGTAATATAGAAAATTAAATTGGAGTTTCATTACTTTCATTTATAATGTTTATAATACAATGATGAATAACTTTATTTTCATTGTTTATATTTACATATCGAAAAGGAAAAAGGAGTAGACAATATAAATGCAAAAACAAAAGAAAATGATTTGACAATAAGTTATCACATATATCTCTAACCATAGAAACACCAAATTTACCAAAAAAATGAGAAAATTAATATATAAATTATAAATTTATAATGTATTATTCAAATTTCTTATATTAGTAATTTATATTTGATATTTTCTTTTAGGTTGTAACTTAAGTAAGACGAAGCAAAAAAAATTATAAACAAAAGACAACAATGGAAGATTTAGAAAATTGAACCATTTTTATTACAGTATTGTATAAATACTTTTAATATTATGTAGAGTATAAAAAGTAAAATGTCACCAAACATTTAAGTCTTTTATAAAATAATTTTGTTATTTTATTATATATATCTCTCTTATTTTATTATTATATATATTATGTATTAACTTTATTCTTAGACAAATCTTGTATGTGATTCATAAATTTTATATTATATTAACATCTATAAATTTAATTAATATAAAGATTAATTTTTGTATTAAATATAACAATTCTTCTCTTTTAGTTTCTACCTAAATCTTAATTAAAAATTTTTAACTACTCTTTTTTTCTTTTCTATTATTTTAATTTTTTTAGAAAATAATTTAATAGAAACTGATATATCAAAATTATGTATAACCTATTAACATAGACAATATTTTATTTATATTTTATATTAGAATAATTATGATAAAAATTTAATTTTTTTTAAATTAAAAAATTAACAATATTTATACTTAATGATTTTGCTGCAATGTTTTTTATAAAATGCTATAATGATGATAATAAATTTAAAACTCTTCAATTAAAACTAATTAATTATAATAATTAAAATAAATTAAAAGTTACTAAATATCATAACAATGAAAATGAATACGATTTAACTGTTCTATTTTCATATTTAATAATTTTATATTATAATAAAAATAAGTAAAGAAAATATAACGTTTTAATTTTAAATTAAGTTCAAATGTTGTATTTAATTTATATATATATATATATATATATATATCATTTATTTTAAAATTTTATGAGTATAAAGTCTAAATCTTTACAACTATTAAAAGACTTTAAATTCAAGAAAAATAGTAGTGTTTAAAATGATAAAAATATTTTTTTATATTAACATATCAAATTATATTTATTTATTAGAATTTCATATTCTAACTATATGATTATTTAAAATTTTTAGATTGGAATATAAATTCTAATACTTTTGAAAATTTTTATGACAATTATAAACGCAAAGAAGAGTGCTTCATAATAGAAAAATTTAGTCATTTTGTAAATTTACAATTAGTTTTCAAGATATAAATTAAAATGCAGATATTATACATAAAAATATGAAATCAGTGCAAATTTTTTTATTAATATAATTATTTATTATGTTATATTCTTAAATTATATATTTTTAATTAAAAAAATTAAATCATGTTCACTAAATATTAACCTCTTTTTATAGAATTAGATAATGTATGAGAGATTGACAAAAAATATATATCTAAAAATAAAAATTAAATATCTAATTTACTATATTTGCATCAAAATGGTTAGAACACATTTATTTTCTAATGGCAATATAATATTTTAATGTATTTATATTAAAGTTACATTTATATATCTTTAAAATAATTATATACTTTTTTTACTTATTTTAGTTCAATCTATGTGTTTTCTTTTATATAGCATTTTAAATTTATTTTTTAAATTTTATTTAAATTAATATTTGTTCTTTTAATAAAATTTTTAAAATATTATTTTATTATTAATTTAGTTTATAAATATATTTATTTTTATTAATTCTTAATTAAAATGATAAATAATAAACAAACTGTATTAATTATTTTTAAAAATTAAAAAAAATTATATAAGAAAAAATAATAAATTTATTATTTTAATTTTATAATCCAAATAACATAATTTTACTATACTTAATTGATTATTAGATAAAATTAATTTATTTATAATGTCAATCAATATTAATTCTATTAAATTATCAAAAAAATATAAAATAATTTAATCATTTAAAAAAAATTCAATTCCATATTTTTTTATCAAAAAGTAAATTTCCAAATTCAATATATATATATTATATGATTATTAATTTTTATTTATAATACTTTTGTATAATAATTTTATTTATATATAAAAATTTTAATATATTTTTATTTTTAAATATTAATATATAGTTTTGTGTATATTAATATTTAAAGACAATTTTTAAACTTTCATACATTAGATGAATTAATATTTTATTTTTTTATATATTAGTCTGATAGGTTATTTTTAAAAAACATGATATCACGTTTTAATAATTATATAAAAATTTTATTAATAATTTTAAATTATAATTATAAATAGATAATTTATCATATAAATTTAATTCAAGAAGTATAAACAAATATATAAATAAAAAATTATAAGACCTTTTATTTAAATTTTATAACATATATTAATAAATTTATTATATTTAATAATTTATAATTATTTATTTAAAATTTTATAATAATAAATAATTTATGATATCATGAAACAATATAAATTTTATTTTTACATTTTAAAAATAAAATATTTGTATGTTATTTTATTTTATGCTAAAAAAATACTAAATTATACATATTTTAAATAATAATTTATTTTAATAAATATTTTTTTTATTATATTTAAATTATATATTTTATATTTTAAAATAAATTAATTTAATAAAAAAATCATACAACGCACGGGCATATTTTTTAGTTAATAATAAAGATAAATTTAATTGTAACTTTTTACATATTTTTTTATTTATCAATAAAAATTAAAATCTATTTTAATGGGTTTATATAGACAATTTATGAAAAACAACTTATGAATCACATAATATTTTAATTTATTTCAATAAATTTTTAAGTTTAATTTTATTACACTACTAGTAAAAAATCTTTACACTTATATTAATTAAATTATATCATAAATATAATTTTTATATTATTAATTATAAAAATTAATAATTGTTTATGATATGACAGTTCATGATTAGATGAGTACAAAAAAAAATTACACTCTCAGTAAATTTAAATTAAATTTTGAATATTTTATAACAAATTATTTTAAACTTATCTTAAATAGATTTTATAATGTAAATCATTATTTAGAAATACTTATTAAATATACATTTAATTAAATTATATATCTAAAACGCTTTAAAGTTTTATCTTAAATATAACAATCTATGTCTAATATTAATAATATAAAAATTCAAATTTTAACTGATAAATAAAGTTAAAAACACCTAAATAACTATAACTAATTTATTTATTTTTTAATATTAACCGTGTGAAGGACGCGCTTGCTTTCTGCCTAATCGTTTTGTTTTATACTGTGGTAGTGGATTACCTTATACTGCCAGAACAGTTTTGGATCATCTACGTTACTCGTTTATGTTCTCTCTCCCTCTCCCTTTCTCATTCTCTCTCCCTCTCCCTCTCCCTTTCTCATCCTCTCTCCATGTTCTCTCTCTCTCTCTCTCCCTCTCTCTTTCTCATTCTCTCTCCTTTTAGTATATATGATAACCTTTTTCTAGTGAGATCTGAAAAAGACCTGTTAGCTCACCTCATACATATATCATTTTACCAATTCTGAATCATCTCTTTGATGAGAATCACAGGCACCCATCAGCACTCAAGACCCTCCCTTCCTTCCATTTTCCTCTTCCACCATGCATGAAACCATTCAATTGATATAGCATTTATTTTCCACCCTACATAGTTCCTCCCCCCCTCCCCCCCCTCTCTCTCTCTCTCAATGATGCCGCCAGATGACATGCCTGTGAAACCAGCAACAGCCAAAGACCCAGAGATTCCAGGTTCTTCCGGAAACAGAAAATCGACAAGGCCAGCACCAGAGCAAGGCCTAAAGTGTCCAAGATGTGACTCACCCAACACCAAGTTCTGTTACTACAACAACTACAGTCTCACTCAGCCAAGGCATTTCTGCAAAACATGCCGAAGGTACTGGACTAACGGTGGAGCCTTGCGTAACGTCCCCATTGGCGGTGGTTGCAGGAAGAACAAAAAGATCAAATCTTCAACATCAAAACTACTCACATGTGACTCCAAAGACTCTGGTTCTTCTTCAGAGCTTGGTGGCCTTAGGTTCCTTCACTCTCTTTCACCTTCCATTGATTTTCAGCTTGGTGGGTTACCCTTCCCTTCAAGGATTCATAACCATCACCCTCCAACTCCATCCACTGGTGTCTATAACCAGTTCTCTTCTTTTGGGGATGTTTCAGTCACAAGTGCTTCACCTGGCTTTCAACTTGACCCTTCTGGTTCTGCTACCACCTCAAATTCTTTGATTGGTCTAAACTACCCCTTTCCTTCTGGATTCAATGGTGCAAGTCCAATGAACTCTATGAACGTTCATAGTAGCCTTGCTTCTTCAATTGAGTCATTGAGCAATATAAACCAGGACTTGCACTTGAAGCTACAACAGCAGCGATTGGCAATGATTTTTGGTGGGGACAGCCAAAAAGCTGATAGTGGCGTTTCACTTTCTCCACCGGTTAATAGCATTGGGAATCAGAATAAGTTGCAACCCGTTTTTTTTCAGAACCTTGAGATTTCCAAGCCAGAGATTTTGCCAGGTGGCAATGGTTTCAGAAAGGGTGGTCCAATTGAGGACACACAAACCGAATGGTTCTTTGGGAATTCTTTTTCCTCAGTGAATCCTACAGCAACAACTTCCAGCAGTGGAGGCAATGGCCACGATGGTAATAATGCAAACAACAACTGGAGTGGGGTCAATGCTTGGGAGGATTTGCAGGTTCAGCAACCATATAGTGCTTTGCCCTAGATATATGAGGAAAGAGCTACACCCATTTTCAATCATGGAAGGAAAATGGAAGAAATTAATAGCTAGGCCAACTTTATAATTGTCTTGTAAACCCCTTTTAGGTACAAGTTAATTAGTTATCTCTTCTTTTTTATGTTGCCGTCAAATCAACAAAGAATTAGGAAAATTTAAGATCAATAGCGTTTTGTCCTTAAATTCATATGTGTTTATATATATACTCATCAATTTGAGTTAGATGTTAATGAATTTAATTGTCTCAAATTTTAATGAATGTTTGATTTAGATATATGCTTGTGTTGTGCCCTCATTTTATCGTTGATGTAGATCCACGCTTATTATTAGTAATCAATAGAAGGGAAGGAAATTGGTGCTTCTGTTACTTACATACACTTCATGTATCTGAAGTTGATGCAATTCAACAAAAAGAGAATTGGGATGGCTTTAAAGGTTGGGTATTGAATTATTGATCTATTTGATGAACTGGAGTTTTGTCTCTACATGCATAGCATTCTCTCAATAGCCTCATTCCACGAAAGGGGTCGGTGATAAGTTTACCGTTTCACTCTATATATCTTTGGGATCTGAGATGGATTTTTGGACTGTTGTTAATGGAAACCTGGGGACTTTATAATGCTATTATACTATACCTTTTAATTTTTTGTATTTAATTGATAACAGAAAACTCATACACCACAGTGTTGGCGTGTCTCTCTCTGTCTATCATCAGAGAACTGAGTCTCAGGCTCCTTCAGTTACTGATCAATGCAATATGCACAAAACACACCACAATACTGGGTGTAGCTTTTGCTGGTTAATTAGTCTGCAGTATCAAAAAGCCTCTGTAGCCTTACTCTCTCTCTCTCTCTCTATCCTAATTTCACTCCATCTATCAATGTTACTAAGGCTCTTAATTCGCAATAATTAATTGCAGTGTGGTGTGATTTGGTGTCTGAAATGGTGGTGGTTTGAAAGTAAGTTTAACGAAACACTATCAACGTTTTAATGAGGTAGAGAGAGAGAAAAGTGTGGCATCTAAAGCTTAGGGTTTGTTATTATTATTATTATTTTAGAAGAAAACAACAAAATGGTTATGTTTAGCTTTATGATTGTTGGAGAGTGAGCCCTCAAATCCGTGCTAAATGCCACTGAGCATCAACTCTCGTTGCCATTCTGTATCTGTATCGTGTCACAGAACGGGAAAGGGAAAGCAAAGCAAAGTAGGAATTGAAGGATTGCTTTTCCCTGCTTCCCTCTGTCATCTTTATTCCTTACTTTCACAATTTGAACGAAGGAAAACAAGAGACCCCACAAATGCTTAAAAGATTAAATAAACATTCTTCTTTATCCCTTTTATTTATATATAGATAGATAGATATTATATGTGTGAATGCAAATAAAACACTTCCCCCTGCATGGTAAAACGTTATTGAAGGAATAACATTACTCTTAATTAAATTTGGTACACAAAGTTGTGAGATGTGCCTTTTCTAAATGAATGAGTCTATGCTTTCAATTCTCTAGGCAACTAAAACACAAGGCCTTAATCAATCGTCTTCGTTAGACAAGTTAATGGGTAACACCATTCCCTTGCCTCATGATTCTGTAGGAAAGGTTACTCTGGTTGCAAATTCTGCATTCATCAATACAAATTAGTGTTGGATACAAGTATTTAATTATTTATTTTTTTAAAGAAAATATATTTACTATTTTTAAATATACGTGTGTGTGTGTGTGTTTGTTCACTTCCTAAACATATGTAGGCAACTACTTCTTCAACCTACTTGTTTTACTATTAAAGATGAATTTTTAAAATTGTTTTTAAGTATTTAAATATAATAATATGTTGTTTTAAAAATTATTTATTACATTAAAAATATAATAAATATTCTTTTAATAAAATTGGTACTTAAGTATTTGATGGTACACAAAATTATATCTAATGACTAATGTTAACATTTCTTTTCTTTATTTAAATACAACTAATGCACTTCTTTCTAATTAAAAAATTTATTGTTCTCAATTAATACATTTTTTAATTTCTATTAATAAATTTTATGAGTTTCGCAAAAATAACGTAGACTTAATTAAATTTAATATTTTTATTAAATATATTAATAATTAAATTACATAAAATGTACTCAATAATAAATAATATATTAGAATGAGTACACGTATCGCTATAGCATACTAATAATAAATGTTATATATATGCATGAACGTCTGAAGTGCTTGGAGTCACTGTCCAACTAAATTATAAAAATATTTCTAATTGCCAGTTTGTATATGTGGGTTGAATGACTCATGGGTCACACGGCAAGAGAAATAGAGAAGATCAGAAGAGGAGAAGGGAGGGTTGCTTGAGAAATGAAAAACATGACATGAGGGTGCGTGATTAACGTGATAGCTGCAGATAGAAACTCCTTTTTGTTGAACAATGAGGGTGGCTCAAACTGTCATTTTACAACTTACAAAACTGCAAGAAGCTCATGACATATGCATTAAACTAAACTATACAAGAGAGACTCTATTCTCTATTTCTCATGATTCTTACACCGAAACTTCTGGCCCCACCATCTTTGATCACTTGATAGTTCCCTCCACTAGCCAACTGCAAGTAATCATATGTATGACCAGAAACATAAAGTAACACCACAAACATAAACACCGCCAAAATTCTTGTTTACTTTTATCATTTTTTTAATTTTATATTTTATGTTATTTAGGTTTTCATTAACATTCTCAAGGCTATATATATATATATATATATATATATGAGTGTTATATAGGTAGATGTGTCCTGTGTTTGTGTGGAACGTTAAAAAGTACCAGTATACGTATTACACTTGGCCCAGACATGCATGTCAGCATCATGCATCATGGCACAATAAGCTAGTGTAACGCTCCCTTATTCTTCTCTTAGAGAACAACCTAAGAACGAGAACAATGCTTTCGGCTCTGTCACCGTATTTGTCTTCTTCCAATTTTGGTTACTGGATTTGGATTTTGAGGTAAGAGGATTGGAACCCGACAAGACAACCTCCACCATCTCGCCTCACTCATCATTTCACTTCTTGACCTCTTGTCCACGTGCTTCTTTCCATTTTCCGTTTCCATTTCTTCCTCTTTCTGTAATCCTTTCTTCATATCGGTCATTTTGCGTTTAATTTACAATCAAATGCCTTAGATATACTTCCAAAAAAAAATTTTAGTATTATTTTTTGAAAATAGTCCTTAAAAATTATATATTTTAAACTCTATGAAAAATTAAAACTACATTATTTTTATTAAAATTTTAATTAAAAATAAATAAAACTTTTTTAAAGAGTAAAGCTAACTATTATCTCACTTTCATTAATTAAAAATGTATCAACATCTATTTATATATTTTTGAGTTCATGCTTTGAAAGTGAAATCGTGTGAAATTACTCTTTCGATTAAAAAGCTACGTCGGCTTATTTGGTTGAAAATTATTTTCTCTTTTGGTCATGTCTTAGTGTATTTATAACTTTAAGCAACTAAGAATGGGATATAACTCTTCATGTATTGTAGCATTCGAGATTTTACTATCAATCAAAATTCATGAGAAAAGATAAAATATGCTCATAGAATTGAAAATAATCTCATATGTAAAGTTTGCTGAATTTTCATAACTAAATCAAAGAAAAAAATATTAAGCTTATTTTTAAATTAAATTTGTGTGAAAAATCCTTTATTAGAAGAGTAATAATTTTATTCTAAATTTTATTTTTTTTAACCAGTAAAAAATAATGTGTGTATAATTTAAATACTTTTATTTCTCTAATTAAAGTCAACTGTCACTCTTGTACACTGGTTTAATTTTGTTAGCAGTATGTGTTTGTATCAGCTCAATCCCAATATAATGTATTACTTTACATCTTGCCTTCTATTGATATAACTCCATGGCAATATATGCATTTGTAGATAGGATGGTCAAGAATATTTATTCTCAAATAGTGCAAGGACTTTTCTTTCACTCAAATTAAGATAGGTTTTTATCTTGATATATTCTTGCATTATAATATATTTTCTTTCTATCACATAATATATTTTTTATTTTTTTAGATATTAAAAAGAATATAGTCTAATATGAAAAAGTACATTTTCCAATAAGAGATGTCAAAATTTTCAAGGAGTCCATTCGGAATGGAATTGAGAAAAATTCGCTGGGTAAGTTCGACAAAAAAACAGTTTACTCAACCTTTAGAAATATCTACATTAATCTCTAAAAAATATCAAAATAGAAAGCTGCAACAGTTTCGCAAAACTTTGGCTGTATCTTGAAATAAGACGGGTGGCAACACATTTTGCATAAATTTAGTTTAGTAAGTTGGATTATCTATTTAATTTCTTTTTATATTTCTTTGTTATTTTATAACACTATCCACTTACGGGGTTTAAATTTGACAATATAACTCTTTATTTTCTTTATGATATATTTTTTATGAAATTACTTTCATTTTTGGTGATCTTAAAATAGAGTTTAATTCTTTTAATTTTCTAAATTGTCATTGCTATGTGTTATAAACAAAAATTAGTATATTCTAAATTAATTTCAAAGTTACTTTACTTATCAATTTTAAAAATTAATTTTTTTAATAAAGAAAAAAAATAGACCAACTACATGATATGAAAACTATTTAAGATTAAAAGTTTATAAATTATATTTGGAGAATCATCTAAAGGATAAAAGGATCTTCAAACAAAAGTGTTAAATAAGTAAATTTGTCAGCTACTGAATTAACTTCCGTCAACAATATAACATATGAATACATGAGATAAGTTTTGAGTGAGATAATGAATATCTTGCATAATATAACAAAATATAAGAGAATCCAATCTTGATTTCTTCAAAATAAGGTTCACCTTTTATAAACAATCATATTTCAAAATTACGCTATAATAATTTTTCAATATGACTAAGTGGAAACTCTAAAAGATTATTTTCAATTAAGCATATAGAGCAAAAGAAGTAAACCTCG